GACCGTTCTGCACAGACCTCTAAATAAACTATATCCTCTCGAAATTCGCTCCCACGACGAAGCAATAGAGGGGAGCATAGCAGAGACGATTGAAGTACAACCGCGGTTACGACAAGGTAACAGCATCGAAGGGAGGCGAGCAGAGCAAGAGACCTCTTCACAAGCTCATCGCAGAAATCAAGAGAGAGCCACAAAATCTCGAGCGTACGAGATCATACAAGACTACGAAAGACAGCTTGATAGCTCTAGTCCAACGAGCATTAACTGTTCAATGTGGACAGTGCAATGACAAAAAGACGACTCAACAAACCTCTACTGGTTCGATATCATTTGCCCTATTCAATACGGAACGCCATGCAAGACCGCCATTCAACGACAATCCACAACGAGCGATCCACATGGAATCTGAGCTCTACTGAAGCTCATTCTACTACACTGTGATTGTCACATGATTGTTTTTTTCTAAGCTTAGTCTTTATATGTAAAGGGGGCGCGCGGAGTGTCTCGCTCTGCGCGACCCTTTGAGACCTTTGATAACCTTTTCCTGTGATTGCCATCGTAAACCACTGATAACTATGAGAATATTCGCTACCCACTGACCTTTGCATGTTTGTCCCCCGTATCGTCTGGGTATAAATACCTGCCGCACCGCCGATACGGGGCGTTCTCGTGCTTTAATAAATCTGTACAGAAGCCATTGCAACACACACATCGCCCAAACCAAGGGGCAAAGGCAAGCTAGCCTCTAACCAAAAAAGCTCTTGTCTCCAAACCGGGACAAACCTCCAGATTTTTGAGCGGTGAATCCTTACCTATCAGTATTACTGTGACGAGGTACCCCTTCTCAATGTTTGTCTTTTTAGGGCTGCAGTAGGTATTGGATTCATTTTTATGGATCGGTGCATGCGGTCCATAAAAATGCGCGACCGCATCGGATAACACATGTGGAGGAGCTCTTGGCACAAGAGCATATTCGGCGAATGGAGTGGCCTGCTCGCTCCTCCGACCTAAATTCCACGAATCACGTGTGGGATGCACTGGGTTGACGCGTTGCGGCACGTCCAAATGTATCAGTGACCAGTTGAACTGATTGAAGAGCGGAATGCCTTACCACAGGAACTCATCACCAACCACGTGGAAAGTATGGGATCGCGCTGCACAGCATTTATTGCTGTCCGTGGTGTTCACACACCCTATTGAAAACCGCGTCGCTTTTTTTGAAGTACCAGGATAGTTGGTGAGGAACTATGTGTAATCGGTACCTTCAAATAAAAATGTCTTATCTGCTCTTCTTATTTCGATTTTCTATCATTTGCTTCCTGTGCAACACCGTAATGGCCCTCTATTGGTATGGTATAAATTTCATCGAACTCGGTCGTCTAGCAGAGGCACAGTAATCGAAAGTTGCTTTCGTCCCTAAGTTTTGCATACCAGTGTAGGTACAGACACTCGAGAATAGTGCACAAACTCTGAATTAGTTAGGAAGACCGATATAAATCAGTGGCGATATGGTTATCTTATTATCATTACTTGTCGGCCCCTTGATCATCGATGGGGTAGTAACTTGCCCAATCGTCCCTGCCGCGAGCCAAAGTGGTCCAGTGAATCGTCCTCGATCGAGAGACATAGTTCGTAGTGTTCCTCTAGTTGTGACTTTCGTGAAAGAGTACGATCATCGCAATGGGGGCCATCCAGGCGCCCATTTGAAGAAAGAAGAGGACGATGGTACTGACCAAAGAATTCGGTCACTGCCCTGGTCTAATGATCATCGCAATATCGACGTATTCAGCCCGCCTGTCCTTGATCCTGATTCCTTAGCGTAGGCAACGGCATCCCTGTTCTCCGCTGTTTGACAAAACTTGAAACTCCGAATTCCCTCCTGCACTTGCCTGTATAGGAAAGTTTCGAGCACCATCCTTTCCACAGCGACGCCAACTTCGTGTTCATCCTTTTTTCTAGTAGTCCGATTCGATTTTCCGAGACAAACGTCAAAGCAGGAAATACCGCTGTGTCGAAAAGGTGAGCGCCGAGTTGGGCGTTCTTTGTTTTCTTCACCATTTCCTAGATATTATTAAGTGCTCCCACTCGGCTCATCATGCTGTCTTCTCGGCCTAGATACACTTAGCTAGAGCATTAAATTTTTTTTCGTTTGGTTTAAAGGACAATCAGTTTCTCATGGCATCGTCTTCGTTTAGATGAGTCTTAAGCAGGTCTTTGCACAAGCGCTGTCATATTTGGCCACCATTCGCCCCGCTTGGTCAACCTTCAGTGCTTTAGGAACGATGTCGCGTGCAAAGCAGATATGACTTAAGTAGCCGTAGCAATAGCAACTCGTGAGGAAGTTATAAAGGCTCGAAGATTGGCTCAAAGATTACTCTCGGACGAGTTTCACCGGCATTGTAGAGGCTACACGGATCACGAGGGAACCCATGTAGGAAGTTCAAACAACTTGTCGTGACCTATGGCGACAGTGAAAGGCAGTTCTGTACAGTTTTGGCTTTTTGTAGTCAGCCCCTTGCGCCCATACCACTTCCAAGTTATTTCGGTGCTGGTAATCGCGTCGAACCTCAAAATTACCGTGAACTATGCCTTTGAGAAGTGCAACGAGTTAATCGTAGACGGTTTCGGGGAAGCTTTCGGAAAGGTACAGCGGTTCCGATTCCTATGGATTGAGCTAGCCGCTGACAGTGTCTTTGACTAAAATGCAAATGCTCGAATATACGTGGCATGGATGAAGTGGAAGGAGCCCTCTGGAGTCCTCTGCGACCGCCAGTGCTCCAGCACGCTGAAAGGAAAAATGAAAAGGAAGCAGAAAATATTGCACTGGCGAAAAGGAGTGTGGGTAACCCTCGTCTTCTTCACTATCTCATGAATATTTTGAGATGCTCTCCCACGCCATGCGTACATTTCTGCACAGTCCCGGAGCTAGATCGTCCAGAATGCTGGCTGTTGACCTAGATCACACCTGGACACGTAGCTCGCTGCGCCTGCTTGACCTTCGGTGTTCTATGCACGATGTCGATTGCGAAGCGCAAGTGTTCTATGTAGCCGCCGGCAACCATCATGCCCGAATCTCAAAAACGAAGCTTCCGTCAATGTCCTCTGGAACAGCACTGAAAAGTTTGGGCGAAAAAGATTAACAGTGCCGAATACTACCCTCCACTTTTACATAAGCTTTCTTGCAGACTGACGAAAATCTGGTAGTGAAGTCGTCGTAGAGCTCACGAAGCATGCATACATATTGAGTAGAAACACCACGGTTGCTCAAGATTTCACGACTTCTGTCTCGATTGTGTGGAGGACCTTCTCATCGATGGACGCCAGACTTTCAGCGAGTTGTGTGACAGTGTTGATGTGTTCTTTTATGCTAAACCGTTTTAGAAACCCAACTTGCTCGCATGGCTGCCCTTCAACTGATATTTTCCCGAACCCGTTCACGGTGACCTAAGTGAAAATTTGTCGATTAGAGAAAGCAGGCAGATTGGGCGATAGTTGCCAACAACGCTGAAATCTCCCTATCCATACAGCAACAAGGTCTCGTTAGTTTTCCGCAACGTGGACTCTTTGCTCTGGGACGGGTAACGAGTGTACAAGCTAGCCGGAGTTCCTATGATAACTGTTGGGAGACTCTTTTGCTGTTCTGCTATGATCCTGTCGTGACCGATAACCAATCTTAAGAAAACACAAAAACTCGTCGACGTGATAGCATACACAAGTTTGGAGTGGAGAGCTGAGGTAATGACATGTCCCGTCCTGCCTAAGATGGTAGGAAGACGAGGTAGAGGTAGGGGCTGACGAAGAGATTTGAGCAGAAATTGTAGATGATCCTTTCCACTGACGTTCGAGATGCACCAAGAGTTCCGTCAGGTGAAGTCGTCTTTGCCTTGTGACTAGCGGAACTCCAGAACTCCACCCCAATTTTCGATACAATTTTGCCATTATCAGACTTATTGATGGGACTGAATATTTCTACAAATTCCGGAACGATGCAGTGAAACTAGGTTAGCTCAAGATCAAGCTTTTCCTCGATTTTCCGGGATCACTGATATAAGTTCAAGATGTAGGCGTCTTGTACAATGCTTTGCTTTAAAGCGTTCGGCAATAAAGCAATCAAGAAAGATCAGTAGTCACCCCTTTCCGTGATCTTGACAGGCTTTTACTGAATTGTTTAGCATCTTCACAGAACGGTCTAATCACATGAGGGAAGAAATGCTCAATTCAATTAGCTTCAAAAGAGCTTTTTTCATCATTATGCCTATTGCAACGCAAGTGAGTACCACCAGAGTGATAAATGTTGCGTGCACAAGTTAGAATATTCTGAATAACAACAAATGAAAAAACGATTATTGAAGCTGAGCCATAGAATCAGCAGAAGTTGCATGACTTTCCGCACATTCTCATCCTGGTTTTCAATGGGGTTGAGCTCATGTCGCAGAATCCAGCTCTCACGAGTGAAGAACAAATACTAAAAAAGAAGTAGTGTATGCTGAATTTCGGTATGTTACTAAAGTCGTTTCGCACCTGCTTTCGTCCCTGCATCGAATACCTGAGACACCTGTTAACGGGTTCTTGGTGGTTGTAGGGGTGAGTGGAGGAGGTACAGTCGACCCTTTCGGGACTGAATGGGTTTTGGTTTTAATATACTAGTTTAAAATACTTCGTAAGAAAGAAAAGCACGTACCATATCGGTATACGAGAACAGTCTTGGATTTGTAAAGCCTGTTGTACGTCATTATCGGAGCACGATTTGTGAACGATTGAAGGGTTAATCCAGCAGCCTCAGGTGAGCAGAATCTTTAATTCAAATCTTTTAGCAATTCAAGATATTCCGAGTCACCGAGTAGAGATATTCTCTGTTCAGTGCCAAAATGTCAAATTTAGATGCATCTCCTGAAGAAATCAATAGGCTCGATTCCCCAGAGGGATGAATATTTCTCTCGAAGATGATGGAACAATCAGCGAAGCCTTATTCAATTAAGTGCTATCATGCATTTCAACAGGTACTCTTAACATGTATGTCCTCAAATTATAGACCAGATTGGGACCGTACCGTAACCGGTGAGTGTTTGATCTTTATTGGTTTTGATCTCTACAACGGAATATTTGCATCCGTCAACAGAAAGACCTGTTGTGAAGTCCAGCAGTCTAACTTGAATTACTGTTCCGACTGGGGACTGAAAATCCATACTGATTATCGTTCATTTGAGCGCCACTAGCAAGCCATAAATTCAAGCAAAAGCGAAAGTCCCTATTATTTAGTTTCGTCGGAAATGCATGATGCACAACGCGCAGCGATCAATGTTCGAGTTTTGTGAGAGTATAAAACATACTTCAATCCAGTAGTTACATGTTAGGAATTCCATTTTCGCGATTATAATCAACAACATCTTCAAGTGTCACCCTGTTGGTAGGAGCTTGATTTTTTTTGGCGCATCCTGATGGCTGAATGAAAACAGCCTTTGTCGCAACATCCTCTCACTGTTAAAAACTCGACAAATTTGCACCCTTTCTGTGCATCGGGCTCCGCCGTAACCACCTGGGCAAATGCATTTTCGACAACCTCGAGGATGAGGGAAGCCGCCCATTTCACATTCAAGTGATGTTCGTGGATCGCATCGCTCTGGATAAGGCGGGAAATCAGTAGCCGTCAAGAGTATGCATAATGCTTATTAGTCTGTGCAGGTATAACTATTCAGTACACAGCATGAACAATTCGATGAATGAAATGAATGGAGAACCAAGAGTTTGTTGATAATTAACATCAAATGGCACCATTGTTGGCTTTCGTTTGAACGATGCACTAGAAGTAAAAATCTATGAGCAAGAAGTATATTATGCTTCGTTCTACTTTTTTAATTCCTTAACGCCGGTCAACGTTCAACTCCTTGCTCTGACCATTGCAATCGTTCTCAATATGCAGTGTATGGAGTAAATAAACGAGAACGTTTTGATTGTGTTCCGTCATTCCCAGTTTGCGAGTTTCAAGCTAAATCCTCACAGGTCCCTTAATGACCCTATGGCCCTTATCCTTAATGCCTAACAGTTTGCTTGCAATATTTTGCTGTTGTTGTGGCTTAGCATTGTTTCATGATTCATAGTATATGTAAAGTTACCTAGTTCCTCCATAGTGCAAGAAACTACCATAATCGTACGTCATTCCATAATTGTCGTTGGTCTGTGGTGTCTCTTTATTGAACTGATTCAGCCAGTCTGCCTGAAAATATCACAGTATTTCGTGCTACATTCATGCATCAGAAATCGTTTGACTTCATTGTAGAGACCACGTTGGTATTGAGCTGACTTTTGAAACTTTTGCATTAAACTCATGCCCGCGCAAAGACACATTGTTCAGATTTAATGGACATTATTCGCTACGGTTAGATAGCGAGGATGTCATATTAGTCAATGATGACTTGGGCAAGTACTGCTTCCAGTGAACTTATTTCGGAAGGTTGCAGATTAATGTCTGCCTTCTCTTCAAATCAGTGAGTATTCACCGCTAAGTGCATACCTTGATATTAACGGTGTTCACTGTTATATATTCATCGCGATCGTAACGAGACATGGTGTGGAAGGATCCAAGAGCGTGACCAATTTCGTGAGCAGCGGTGGATACTGACTCACAGCCTGATCCCAGCGACAGTTTCTGTTACCACCGAGTTTACCCACGAACGACCAGCAGCCGTTTTCCGGGAATACCATTATTCGGTCTTCGGCTGAAGTGAGAGCCTTTCAGTAGCGGTTGGTTGGGTTGGTGATACTTTCGGTTTCGTAAGAAATCTGTATCAAAAAGCTCAACTATCTTCAAATTACTCACCCATGCGATTCTCAGCAAAATTGATGCAGGTATCCTTTTCCCACCATTTTGCTCCCTTCAAAAATGCACTTCGCATCTCTCTGCCTGTAATATTGATACTGCGCTTTTATCTGAATTATAGAATATCAACGGACCAAAGGAACACTTACTGGCAAGTGGGTGGAAATAATAGTTCACTCCTTCTGACCATAATGTATTCGGATATCTTCGATCCTTGAATGCCTGACGTTTCGTACGATTACCACCGTTAGCCTGTTCTTCTATACCCGCGGCTATTTCTTCAGCTTGTGTCCTGTATTGATGCTAGATGTGAACTTTGTAATGTGTGTTTGCATAGAATATTCCACGTACATTGTCAGAACCACGTCCCCTTGATACAGATCTTCAGCAACATGGCTATTGCCATTGACCTCCTCAATGGAGTCTCCCTTCTCTGCGACTTTATCGATCTTGATAGGCCGCCATTTCTGCAAATTTCAGTAGCTACCGGATATCCAGTGATGAGGGGAGCTAGCAAAGCGTCTGGATCAAAAACGCATTTGCTGCCTTCGCTCATGAATTTCACACCTTGTGAAACTGATGTTTCTGTGACAAATGTTATAGAAAGCATTCAAAAAATGTCACCTTCAGTCTTTCTTTGAGAGCCTTCAACTGTTCTGCCGTTAGCTTCAATGTCTTCAATGTTTTCTCCTTTAAGCGTCTGAACTTATCACGGATCTTGAGGAAGCCCTCGCCGAAGATCTGCAATCGCATGCAAAATTAAAGGACTGTTGCTGCGATTTGAAGTGTGTTTGAGAAAGCCTATCCGTGATTCCTATAAACCGGTAACATAAACACGAAGAGAAGGCGGAACAAAACTGCTTGTTGAAGTAAAACATGGCAAACCTTTGTGAGTCCACTGACTGTTGCATTCTTTATCTTTTGACCGGTGATAATTGTTGCGTTCTTCAGTTTTTGACCGATGCTG